GGGTTGACACGGTCCTTCATGGGGGCCGTGTTCAGAGCCAGATCGGCGTAAGTCAGTAATGTTACATTTGAGCCTACTACTCACCAACCACCAATTGGTGACGAGTTTTGAACGTATCCGGAGGCCTGCCAAGGTTTTACTGGGACGGGGGCAGCCGCACTATTAGCCCACTCGCCATTTCAAGAAGGTGTCACCCTTCTTTACTCAGGGAGCAGAATAGCACGACTGTCAGCCCTGTAGCTTGGTATCTAACCCTGTAGCCGTGTCGTGTCCATAGTTCCATGCCGTGTTCAGTATACCGTAATAAGGATCTTACTGGCGTCGATCCTAATGTGCCGGTTGGCACTCCTGCGGGTTGACGAAGCATTTCCTCGATCGCCGTGTAATGGTTAGCGCGCCAGTGTTCGCGTCGCACCCCCTCACTTTGCTATTGTCAGAAGGACAACATTGCCCAGGCTACACCACGGGGAGGTGTGAGGTAGGAACTAGTGAGGACCAGAGATAGGAAAAACGGTCTTCCCAGGTTGTCAACTCACCATTTGTAGCCCTGTGTATGTGTGTGTGTGTGTGTGTGTGTGTGTGTGTGTGTGTGTGTGTGTGTGTGCGTGTGTGTGTGTGCGTGTGTGTGTGTGTGTGTGTGTGTGAGTGTGTGTGTGTGTGTGTGTGTGTGTGTGTGTGTGTGTGTGTGTGTGTGTGTGTGTGTGTGTGTGTGTGTCTGCGTGTGTGTGTGTGTGTGTGTGTGTGTGTGTGTGTGTGTGTGTGTGTGTGTGTGTGTGTGTGTGTGTGTGTGTGTGTGTGTGTGTGAGTGTGTGTGTGTGTGTGTGTGTGTGTGTGTATGTGTGTGTGTGTGTGTGTGTGTGTGTATGTGTGTGTGTGTGTGTGTGTGTGTGTGTGTGTGTCTGTGTGTGTGTGTGTGTGTGTGTGTGTGTGTGTTTGTGTGTGTGTGTGTGTGTGTGTGTGTGTGTGTGTGTGTGTGTGTGTGTGTGTGTGTGTGTGTGCGTGTGTGTGTGTGTGTGTGTGTGTGTGTGTGTGTGTGTGTGCGTGTGTGTTCAATCTTACCCTCACGTCCCGGCCGTGTTATTATGGAAGAACTCTCTCTACAATGCCGCAATTATGGTCATTGTAGACAGCTTTAGTCCCGGGAGGCAATGAAAACCTACACCGAACAATAGAATTGAAGCTGCGGCATACATTCTGGAGGTTAGATTCAAGGTCAACCGAGTCACTCAAGGCAATCACAGGCAAAACACGATATATCACTAAATGATAACTTTATGAACACAAATTAACAAATTTAAAACAAAAAACGTTTAAATCGCTGTCGAAAAATACGCAGCAAAAGAAAACACGTCAGATTTCAAGCGCAGCCTACTGTGATCCCACAAAATCTTCAAATGGTATCTGTATTTAAATTGCAAAAATTTTATAACTAACCCATCATAAGATTTTTGCCGTAGATCATCCATGAGAACTTTGAAAATGATGCATAGACTTCTCGACGAAACCTATAGAACCATTGCTCTTGTCCTGTAAAGCCATCGTAATTGACGATCATTAGAAGACATTCTCAGTTGATCACCATGATACTCGAATTAGGCTCACAATGGCTCGAAAATATACTCAAGAATATTGAAAGCTACGGTCTCTAAATTAAACGTAAGTATTGGTGTAGCTAATGGGAATGTCTAGGGTGATCAGTCCGGTATCTGGTCTGATGTCCCCCTTATCCGGATCCTGTTTTTAGCAGTAATTCACATCAAATTCTATCCGGTGACCTCCCAGGTATACAGTTCCGTAGATTTTACGCAAATTTCGAGAACTTTAGTGAAAATCGAAAGCTGCATGGCAGTTCCATTAAATTTAGGAAATTTTACCTTCATGATCTTAAGGGAAGTTACGTGAACTTTGGGGCAGTTCTGAGAACTTAGGTGCAGTTCCATGAATATCTGGAAATTTTCGGGAACATAAGAGAAGTTCCGAGAGGTTCTGGTAAGATGATAATTAAAGATATCCCAGAGATCATCAGGGAAGTTTTAAGAACTTAAGGAAAAACTCGGAAGCTTCCCAGAGAACTTCGGGAAGTTTGGAGATCCTTAAGACAGGTTTATAAATTTCAGGGCAATCCCATCAGTATCATCAGAAGAGTAACCAGAAGAATAATCGAGTTTCAAGAACAGGTAGCGGTGAAATAATGGGAGTTCCAAGAACTTCTACAAAATTTGGGAAATTCAGGGAAGCTTTGAGCACTTGAAGCTAGTTCCATCAGCTTCAGGAAAACTGCAGGAGCTTTAAGAAGCTCTAAGAGCTATAGGAATATAAAGAGTCATTCAGGGAAGTTAAGAAAACTTCAAAGAAGTTCAAAGAAAATTGTGAAAACACAAAATTTAGTCCAAAACCCTCAGGAAAGTTAGGTTTGGAGATCTTCCAGGAGATACCAAATGGACAGTGCCGATAACTTAAGGGAAGGGATAGATGAAGTTCCGGAAACATCAGGAAAGTCCAGAGGTGTTTAAAGAAGTTTAAATGTTTTTAGAAACTATTTTTATTTCTTGCCTGTTCCAATAGCTTCAGAAGAATCGTCAGGGATGCTCAATTAACTTCAAGAAAATCGCAGGAATTTTACAAAAGTTTCAAGAAACTAAGGAAAAATCCGAAAACTTCAGTAAAATTCCGAGATCTTCAAGGATGTCCAAAGATCTTCAGAGAAATGTTGAGATTTTTAAGCAGTTTAATTTTTTTTGCGGGGCTGTTCTGAGTACTTCAAGGAAGATCAGAGAGCTTATGAGCAGTTCAAGGTGTTCCGGGGAATTATAAAAAAATCCAAGAATTTAAGGAATGTTCCAAAAAAAATGGGTTGTCTTTCATGAATATCAGGAAAGTTGTTGGAACGAGAGAGAAGTTTCGAGAACTTCTTGAAAATTTAGAGAACTTCATGAAGAAACGAAAATATTCCTCTCATTTCCAAGTGTAGTTCACACAATGTGGACACAACTGCGCGATTTATTACTATATATTTGAATGTTATTTTAGTGCTTGAGTTATATTTTTGGAATGTGGTCTGAAAATTCAGTACAATATCAAGTGGTGAACAGTCAAAACACAGGAATATAAATGTTCATACTACCGATGCCGTTGCAGTCCAATTCTACCTGGAGCTATTCCTAAAAAGCTCCTCTTCTCTACTGCTGGCGCTGTTTGGGATTAGAAAGGTAGGCAGTGGGTTTGGAAGAACTAAAATGCCGGAAATGCAACGAAAATTGTGCAATAGATTCATATTCTTCTATCAGGCTATCAAAATATTTTTAGCGAATTGCTGATTTGTGGAGTTGTGTTAAGCTTAAAAAGTCTTGTTCTGTCTTTCGTTCAGCTTACTTATTGAGGTTGAAATATGAGGATACAATTCGCTCTATGGACTACAGTTGTGTTAAGCTTGAAAAAGTCTTGTTCTGTCTTTAGTTCTTCATTTAGTGCATAAAGTGAATTGTATCCCCATATTTCAACCTCAATAACTAAGCTGTACTAAAGACAGAACAAGACATTTTTAAGCTAAACACAACTTCACAAATCAGCAATCCACTAAAAATATTTTGATAGCCTGATAGAAGAATATGAATCTATTGCACATTGTAGTAATCAACTATTTATTCAACCTGGTGTTAATCAGCTTTGTACACCTTAAATCACCCATTAAACAGCTTCTGATTTTACTGTTCAGCTTGAATTGTTACTTGGGCCAAAATAAAGTCATAAATTCCTCGAAAAAAAATCCAACAACTCATTTTCCATTCCAAATCGAAATTCTTAAGAAAAGCATTTTTTTTTTTCAATCGCATTTGCTTTCATAAAACGCCGTAAATCCAGATCAGAATCAATTATCGGGAAAAGGCCCAGCTCATACATCCCCTTGAACACTTCCATCTCTCATCGCTTTCAACTCCTGAGTAGGTACGGATATCAGCGGGGGAGTCTCCTCCCTGGAAACCAAAATCAAGTTCAGTAGGCAAGCTCGGCAGCACAGAGATCAGCCCCAACGACCATCCGTATGCCGGCCTCGCCCCAACGGTTATTCTGTCATAAACCAAACTGAGGCGATATTTTCCAAACCAGTAGCTGGTGTCCTTCGTTGGTTGCCTCCAGATAGACTTATTATTTATTTAGAGAGGGAAAAAGCGAACAACTTTCTTGCAAACCAGCCAACGATGATGGCTCTGCTGATGAACACAGTGGGATGAGATGTTCGGGCAGCCCAAAATGAATCCATCCACAACAAGACAAGTCTCGCTCGCTTACGTTTCGACCAGCCAGCTTGGAAATGATGTTACTGATTATGTATTAGAATGGATTGACAGCGAACCAGACAAGCTAGAGCTGGATTCAATGGTTGGTTGGTTGGTTTGCTGCTGGAAGGTGACAAAAGCTTTGTAGCGAATTTTTCCTATCAAGGGTGGTGAGGAAATTGAGAAATTGGAAGGAGGACGAATCACTTTATATTCATGGCTGAGAAGAGCTCTTACTGTCATTTTATTATTGAAAGATTTTACTTTCGTGCGGGGCAGAACGGAAGGGAAGGGAGGGACCCGAGTCGAGAGACATTAAATCTGCATTAGTTTATTATGAGTATGTACTGTGTAGCAGCTCTATTGTAAATATAACCTCAAAGTTCCCAATAAACACAACTTAGTTTCAGCATCATAATGTTGGCCGATGTAAATTTTTATTCGGGTTGTCATTCTTTTCGTTGTCAGTCATGAAGCTCTTGTACGTTGGATGTCGATTTTTTTCCCTCCATCGTCGTCGTCGTCTTGATCATCGAAGAGGAAGGCGGGCCTCGTATGAATGATATATGAGCCAAATTAAATTTTATTCCTCAGAATTTGCTTAAGCGACACAAGTCTGCCTGGGTTGAGAGACCTTCATCGGCGGGGTGGATTATTCAAATTAATCCGCAATCCAAAGTTCTTTCCCATTTCTGAAACTGTGGTATGCGTTTTTGCTTGCAGGTCGACCTCCGCCTCGGGTGTCCTGGTGGCACGGTGATAGGGAGATATCCGGTACAAGTCATCCATCCGCAATCGACGGGGCTGCCGCAATGGTCAATCAGCTCTTCCTCGGGACCGTCACGAGGGAACTCTACGGGGCCAAATTTCGATGCAAAGCGGCCGTCTCCAAGCTGATTCCATCGCTTTCGAAGGAAGTCTCCATTCAAGTACACCGTAAGTATTAACATGTCCATGCCGTGCGATCCAAAATCATTGCTTCTCGACCTATTTGCAGTGAAACCACTCCGGGTGAAAATCGTTACCCCTAATGAGCTGCTCACCGCGGGTCGTCCCGTACCGATTAGGTGCGAAGCGTGGGGTTCCTTTCCGGCGGCGAAAATCGTCTGGCTGCTGGACGGGGAGCCTCTGCGAAGTGCCGACATCACTGTTCATAGCGATAACAATGTAAGTTTGATATTTGCAGCTGGCAGGAAGGAAGCAAACGAGCTGCAATTTGGACGCCGTTGTTGGCCGTTTAATCAACTATCTGTTGTGTTCGTTGCAGGATGCAAATTTTACCTCCAGCATACTGACGATGCGGGTCTCGGCCGGGAACAACGGTGCCGAGCTGGCCTGCCGGGCGTCCAATCCGTGGTTCTCGAACTTTTCGCTCGAGGACAAGCGGATTATCAGCGTTGCATGTGAGTATGACTTCCATTCACTGGCATATGGAGAGAGAGAGAAAGCAGGTTGTTTTTCATTATGATTAAGTTTGGAGGAGATGTGACGTAACAGTAGAACAATTATGACCTGGAATCTTGACATGAATATCACACAGGTGAAATGACCGAAACTATTAACGCATGTAAGACTAGCATACCTCATTCAAAATAACCAAATTCAAATCTGTGTTGTTGAATATTTCAGTCAACGGAATTACAATTTCAGAACTCCAATAATTGAACTTGGTAACATCCGGGGCGAATGTTTTGGGTGTCACCCCCTAACTTTCAACAATATGAATTATCGCGTATCTCTGTTGTTTCACCAAGCGGAAACCTAATCATATTTTTTCGTGAAGTGTCGTGGATTTGAGATGCTCGATTACCCTGAAGGGATTGTTTTTGCTACTGAGCAGCAAATCATGGGTTGTATTATATTCTTATAGTCTACATATTTTCATATAGACATATAAATTTATTGGGTAGGGATGGAACCATCAGGGTCTGATTGAAGCGATTTGGATGGGGAGAGTGGAATTGCCAAATCTCTGTGGTTAACATTTCGTGTATTGAAGGTGGGCTCTTCTCCCCACTTATCCTCTCGTATGATGGCTTGTTCAATATCTGGTTGGAACATTTTTATCATTGGAAGTAGATTCTTCTTGCTCACGTGGATCACGAGTAAGTGTCTCTGCTTACTGGTCCACCCTCCGTTTTTGGCCCTTCATACAATGGTAAATTGGATACAACCATGTATCGTACTTAACTCATACGAGCTGGACAGTCCACTGTATAATGGCCCTGCAACAATTAGTGTTATCCTTTACGGTTATTTGCTTTTGTGCGGATCTTCCGCTCCCTTATCCTAACATTCGCAAATTGGAATTGTTGAATCATAATTTTCATAAATTCTCAATTCAGCTGAAGACACCACAATTATTACAAACTGAAACGAGATTTGTAGCAGTGATTCAAAGGCAATTTGTAGTTTCCATCTAATTTTGAATAGTTTAAAAAGGTAAGAGGTTGTATCCAAGACACGACCGTAAATTTGACGTAGGATTACGTGCTGGGTATCAATATTCGGCGACTGTGTTAGGGAAACCACTTTTTCCCATCACGGAAACGCCTCGTTTTCTGATGACAAAATTATGCATTTTCATGCACAAAAAGCACGGAATTTTTGGTTTATTCAGCAGATAATAAGAAAAGCGAAAATCGATTGGAGGAATTTCTTGCTAAAATTTTTCCAATCGCGAGATAGTCGCGATTAATATTATAAATTCGAGATTTTTTTGCATCTTCTAGCGTCCTGGAGAAAACTTTACCATAATTCGAAGTGTTTCTAGTTAATTCACAAGGTATTCGGCCATTGCGAGAATTTTTAAAGAACCACTTCAATACTGTTACGCATTTGACCACAAACGTTTTGTTGCTGGGTACATTATCAAACAGCTTTGGGGGTGATGTGACTGGCAGCAAGGCAAGTGAACGTTCAATGAAAATTATCTCTTAATTAAGAATTATTTATGGTGGTCCTGAAAAAAAAACCCTTTTTTCGTGATGGTTGATAAATGCTGAGCTATTAGCGTGGTCAACACCGATGAGGCTGGCGAGCTGTATGTTGCTTGGTACGAGGGTGAGGGGCTCGGCATAGATGGCCCACAGCGACTCACGAAGAGCTACTGAATCCGATCAGTAGCGGTGCGGCTTCTTCCTCCTTCTTCGATGAATGGACGCTCATGAGGGCTGCAGCTCGCTGCTTGCAGGCAGTCTTTCGTTGTGTACTGGAGAACAATGTTCAACGCCACTCGCCGAAAGCGCTGCTACTGCTGCTGCTGATGACGACCGACCGGACATCACCACACAAGGATTATTGAATAAGCACCGTTCAGTGAGACCGGATGGAATTCGATTTTGAAATCTGTTTTAGGGAAAGCGCTTTTTGCAAGCAATCGGTGACAATTTTGGTCACCATTGCAACAGTTGGAAATTTGTGTAATTTTTAATGGTGACCTATAGAAAATTAATAAATTGTTCATTAACTGACATAACCCCAAGGCTGCAAAATGCGTGTCGATGCATGTTGACATGACTGGTTCTCAGCAATACAATCACCAATCGTTATGATTCAGCCACCAATCGAAAGATATGGCTATCTAATTTTATTTTAAACAGATAGAAAACCAATTGGACCTGTGGTTGGCCAGCCGGAACGGAAAAACCCGGAAAAGTCCCGAGCAAAATGCGTGTCGATTGAAGTTGACATGACTGGTTCTCGGTGATTTGGTTACCAAATTTCAAGATTGAGCCACTATTTGAAAGGTATAACTATCTACTTTCGAACGGAACAGACAACGAACTGATTGCACTTGTGGTTGGCAAATCGGAACGGGAACACCCGCGAAAGGTGGCTCTGTGGAAATTCGGATTCACCGATAAAATGGTCAATTCCTGAAAGTAGACCTAGAGATCCGCGATTTTTTCTAAATTGCATACAATCATGAGCATAGAGGAAATATGACATCAAAATATTGATACTGCTACCGGGTGGCCGGAATATGGTGCTCTGGATATCCGGAATCACCGGAAAAATAGCCAATTCTTAAAAGTAAACCTAGAGATCCGTGATTTTTTAGAACATGTGAAGAACCCTTAGTTGAGAAGAGATATCTCAGTGCCATAGTGATTCGGTCCCCCAGTGGCCATAAAACGCCCTTCTGGATATCCGGATTCACCAGAAAAATGTTCAATTCCTAAAAGTAGTCCTAGAGATTCGCGATTTTTTTTTCTAAATTGCATACAATCTTGAGCTTAGAGGAAATATGCCATCGCTGAATCGATTTTGCTGCCGGGTGTCCATAAAACACCCTCGTGGATATCCGGATTCACTGAGAAAATGGCCAATTCCTAAAAGTGATCCTAGAGTTCCGCGATTTTTTTCATAAATTGCACACAATAATAATCATAGAGGAAATAAGCTATCACTATATCTATGCGGCTGCTAGGTGACCAGAAAACGGTCCTCTGGATATCCGTAATCACTGTGATCAAGGGCAATTCCTGAATGTAGACCTAGAAATCCGTGATTTTTTAGAACGTGTGAAGAACGTTCAGTTGAGATGAAATACCTCAGTGCCATATTGATTCGATCCCCCGGTGGCCATAGAACGCCCTTCTGGTTATCCGGATTCACCGGAAAATTGGTTAATTACTAAAAGTAGTCCCTGAGATCCGTGATTTTTTATAAATTGCATACAATATTGAGTAAAGAGGAAATATGCCATCACCATATCAATTCTCCTTCAGGGTGGCCAGAAAACGTTCCTGAGGATATTCGGATACATCGGAAAAGTAGTAATTTTTACAAAGTGGTTCTAATGCTCGGTGAATTTTTAGTAAATGTATTGATCCTTAAGTTAAGTGGAGATATCTCAGTGAAATATTAATTCGTTCACCAGGTGGCCATAAAACCCCTTTCTGAATTTGGAATCACCAGGAAAATGGTCAATTAAATTAAAAGTGGTCCTAGCGATCCACAATTTTTGCAAAATTGCATACAATCTTCATCATAGAGGAAATATTCAATCACCATATCGATTCTGCTTCACGGTGACCACGAAACGGTCAGCTAGATATCCAGAATCACCAGGAAAATGAGCAACTCATAAAAGTAGACCTAGCGATCCACGTTTCTTTTTTAAATGTGAAAAACCCTCATTTGAGAAGAGATATATCTGCTCCATATTGATTCGATCCCCCGGTGGTCATAAAACGCCCTTCTGGATATCTGGATTCATCGGGAAATTAGTCCATTCCTAAAAATGGTCCTAGAGACCCGCAATTTTTTCTTAATTGGATTCTATCGTGAGCATAGAGAAAATATGCCATCACTATATCGATCCTCCTCCAAGTGATCTAAAAACGGTCCTCTGGACATCCTGAATAAACGGGATCAAGGTCAATTCTTGAAAGTAGACCTAGAGATTTGCGATTTTTTAGAAAATGTGAAAAACTCTTAGTTGAGAGAGATATCTCAGTGCCACATTGATTCAATCCCTCGAAGGCCATAGAAGGCCCTTCTGGATAATCGGAAACACCGGAAAAATAGTGTATTCCTAAAAGTGGTTATGCACCTCTCATAATATCAGCGCTAGCTGGTGTTACTAGCTCGCTGATCGTCTGCCTACTTACGTTGCAGGTTCAACAGCATTTGAGCGACTGCCCTGTTGATGGCATCCCAGGTGCCCACCTCTCGACGCATTTCCTCGCCGACATTAATTGCGCCAATGGCAGACATCTCCCTTCGTATTGTTTCGAATCGAGGTCGAAGACCACGTGATGAGTATATGTATGTGTGTTATACAATTTTGAGTAATGTTTTTCTCACTAACCACTGGACCGAATTGCATGCGTCCAGATATGTCATGTGTCCGGATGTGTCCAATATAATTCTGGGCACTTTTTATAACATTGCACTTGGTTTTAATTCTCATGTTATGAGGTATTATATGAGGTGTTACTGAGATTCACGTTACTCAAAATTGTTTAACACACAAAGACACACACCACACACCACACAGGTGGTCGTGTGGGAAGTCTAGGCTACTGAAGCTTGAGCTTGAGCTTGAGCTTGAGCTTGCTTGAGCTTGAGCTTGATTGACCGCCCCACGGTTGCTACTCTATTTTTGCCAGATCAGCTGTAATTACACAGAGAACCAATAGACGATGCTTGGGACTAGCAATCATCCTCAATGTGTAAAAACTGGTGATCTTAAATTAGGCAATACCAGCGCCGGCCGCGCCCGAACACAGGTCAAGAAAGGAGTGGGAAGGATTGTGTTGACATGACACTCACTTTGATGGAAGCCGAGAACACCTCTGCACTTCCACGAGGAATCACTGGGATGTTGGATAAGAGGGTTGGGTTTGCAGCAGGGTTCGTTTTGGTAAACGATAAGCTGAATTGATGTCCTAAC